CCCCCCCCCCCCTATGTTTATCTATTCAAACAATAATTAGGTATATGACAAATAAAATTAAAAACTGTTTAAAGCTCCAACTAAATGATGGGGAAGACTCTAAAAAATTATTAATTACTAATATTTTTCTTAAAAATAAAAAATGATTAATTACTATATAGAAAATAATAAGAGCAAATACTTTTATTGAAATATAATAAAATAAGTCTATTATTTTAATCTCTCTTTTAGTTAGTAAGTCCCATTCATATTAATATTTTTTAATCACTAACATCGGTTTTGTAGTTGAGAGATTGAGATAGATGTATAATGACTTAAGTTTAATCTTTATTGTTTATGTGTAATATGTTTTATGTAACGACCTGCCTAGCCGTTACACACAGCTCACAACATCCACAACACCATACAGAAAAGAGCAAACATATATATATATATATATATATATATATATATATAAGTAACTAAAGTATATACACAAGATCTAATCTGGGGCTAAGAATCAAAGTATAAAAAAATACATCTAAAAGTAGCCAAACTAGTAGTCAAAACAATAAAACATCAAATATCCACTCTATCTGCCAGCTGCAAACTTGCCTCATCTCACCAACCTAACCCTGCTCTACTCCCAATACATAGTATGATCATTGCAGTCCCAACTACATGGAAACAACAAAGGATAAGCTAGTGAAAAGAATCAACTTATACATATAAAATCACAAGAATTATAATCAGCTACAGCTCTTAGCATATCATCTAGTTCAGCAATTATCAGCATACAACTCATCACATACACAGCTCATATCATACAACATAAACAACGATAAACACACAATGAGTCGTCACGCATATCAGCTCGGAGATCTCCTACAACAGCTCAGCCTTACGGATTGCAACAGCTCAGCCTTACGACCTACAACAATTTATATCAGCATGCAGCACAACACAATAATAACATCAATAACAACATACATCATAGCTTAATAATATACAACACAACTTAATGATTCACAGCACAGCTATATTATAATTCAACATTATCCTCTAACCGCACAGCAATATTCA